CACCTGGGGCTGGACCTCTCACCCAGGGGCCGGACTTCTCACCCAGAGGCTGGACCTCTCACCTGGGGCTGGACCTCCTCACCTGGGGTCGAGCTCCCCACCTGGGGCCGGACCTCTCACCCGGAGGCTGGACCTCTCACCTGGGGCTGGACCCCTCACCTGGGGCTGGACCCTTCACCTGGGGCTGGGCTCCCCACCTGGGGCCGGACCTCTCACCTGGGCTGGACTCCACCCAGTGGGGCCGGACTTTCTCACCCAGAGGCTGGACTCTCTTCCACGCTGGGGCTGGACCTCCTTCACTGGGGTCGAGCCTCCCCACCTGGGCCGGACTCTCACCCGGAAGGCTGGACCATCTCACCTGGGGCCTGGACCTCCTCAACCTGGGGTCGACTCCCCACTCTGGGGCCCCGGAACTCTCACCCGAGGTTTGCGCTGGAACCTCTCACTGGGTGACCCCCTCACCTGGGGGCTGACCTCCACCTGGGCTGGGGCCTCCCCACCTGGGGGCGGACCTCTCACGCCGGAGGCTGGACCTCTCACCTGGGGCTGGACCCTTCACCTGGGGCTGGGCTCCCACCTGGGGCCGGACCTCTCACCTGGGGGCCGGACCATCTCACCCAGAAAAGGTCTGGAACCCTCTCACCTGGGGGCTGGTGGACCCCTCACCCTGGGGGTCGGGCTCCCACCTGGGGCTGGGACCTCTCACCCGGGGGTCGGACCTCTCACCTGGGGGCCTGGAACTCCTCCCACTTGGGATGGGCTTTTTTCACCTGGGGGGCTGACTTTCCACTGGGAGCTGGTCCACTCAGTGGTCTTTGGGGCTGGGGATCTGCATTTCTACAGCGCTTGAGGTGATGAACACATCGCTAATGTTCAGGAACCCCTGGTTTAAATTAGGGGAAATGTGCAGTGTCTGGATTTCACAGAACTCCTGTCCTGGAAGGAAGGAGTGCAGATAACATTGGCTTTTCTGGTCTTTGATGGGCCAGCAGCTGTGATTTGCATCAAGATCATTTTGTGTTTCCTGCTGAAGAGGGCTAATGATTATTATTAGTAATAGTAACAAGTCTGGGCCGGGCGCAGTGGCTCATGCCTGTAATCCAGCAATTTGGAGGCTAAGGTGGCCGGATCACCTGAGTAGGAGGTTCGAGACCAGCCTGGCCAATGTGGTGAAACCCGTCCCTCTATAAAAAAATACAAAAATAGCGGCGTGTGGCACGTGCCTGTAATTCCCAGCTACTCTGGAGGCTGAGCCAGGAGAATCACTTGAAGCCAGAAAGTGGAGGTTGCATTGAACAAGATCATGACACTGCACTCCAGCCCTGGGCAACAAGAGTGAAACTCCGTCTTCAATTAAAAAAAAAAAAAAAAAAGGTAACATCTGATTTCACCAATTTCTTTTCTTTCTTTCTTTTTTTTTTTTTTTTTTTTTTTTTTTTGAGACTGAGCCTCACTCTGCCACCCAGGCTGAGTGCCAGTGGTGCGATCTCGGCTCACTGCAACCTCTGCCTCCCAGGTTCCAGTGATTCTCCCTGCCTCAGCCTCCTAAGTAGCTGGGATTAACAGGCCACCCACCACCAGGCCTGGCTAAATTTTTGTATTTTAGTAGAGACAGGGTTTCACCATGTGGGCCAGGCTGGTCTCAAACTCCTGACCTCAAAGCCAATCCGCCTGGCCTCAGCCTCCCAAAGTGCTAGATTACAGGTGTGAGCCAGACATGCCTGGGCCTGATTTGATCACTTCAGTAGAGCCTTAAAATCTGGATTGATGGGCAAGAGAGCCCATTGCAGGTCATTCCTAATCTGAATGCCATTGTTCTGTAAACCACCACATTTAAAGTTCATAGCCAGCTGGGCGCGTGGCTCACACCTGTAATCCCAGCACTTTGGGAGGCCAAGGTGGCGGATTCACTAGGTCAGGGAGAATTCCGTGACCATCCTGTCTAACACGGTGAAACCCTGTCTCTACTAAAAAATACAAAAAAATTAGCCAGGCATGGTAGTGGGCGCCTGTAGTCCCAGCTACTCAGGAGGCTGAGGCAGGAGAATGGTGTGAACCCGGGAAGCGGAGCTTGCAGTGAGCTGAAATCGCGCCCCTGCACTCCAGCCTGGGCGATAGAGCGAGACTCCGTCTCACAAAAAGTAGAAAAATAAATAAAAAATAAAATGTCATGGCCTGGGCCTATTTTAACCTGTAGGTGCTCCCGAGGCACCTGTCACTTAGATTAGCCACAGCTGCTGACCAGCTGCCGAGCAGAGTGGACTAGTGCAGGACAGCGTCCACTCACCCTCGCCCAGTGGGGGGGTTGGTCATGGTTTTCACGCTTGCCAGTGTCGACTTGGTCTTTCCATGCTTCTGGCAGAGAATCTGGACTCACCCTTGGTCTTCTCATGCCTTCGAAAGTTGAAATCAAAGCACGAACATATTTTTTGTTGGAGATGGAGTCTCACTCAGTCGCCAGGCTGGAGTGCAGTGGCGCAATCTCCGCTCACTACAACCTCTGCCTCCCGGTCCAGAATACTCCTGCCTCAGCCTCCTGAGTAGCTGGACACAGGCGCCGCACAGCGCGCTAATTTTTTGTATTTTAGTACGAGACGTTGGTTAGTGTTAGCCAGGATGTCTCGATCCTCCTTGTTCCACACTGCTCGGCCTCCAAGTGCTGGATACAGGATAGAGCACCGCTCCGCTGGAACATATTTTTTTTTTTATTTTTTAGGGAGTTTACTCTATCGACACAAGGCGCTGGAGTGAGCCCACCAGTCGTCGGCTCACTGCATCCCGCTCCCTGGGTCGTGCATTCTCTGCTCAAGCTCATGATAATGAGAAAAGAACAGGACTGAATCAGGACGACCACGCGCCGCTTAATTTTTTTATTTTAGTAAACGGGTTTACCGTGTTACCAGAGGTTCGATGGGAACATATTGTTTAATAAGCACGTGAGCTGGTGTGATGAGATCCCTGTGTAAGAGTTTTTACCTATTTCTTCTTCAGCAGCCTTGTTGAGTGCCTTCTGTGCGGCAGGCTCTGCTGATTCAGCAGTGAGTCCACCAAACAAGCCCTGCCCACAGGATGAGTCCAGCAGGGGAGGTGGCAGAGAGGCAGCCTTCAGGCCACAGAGGCTGGCCTCTTTCCCACCAGTGCAGTGCTGAGGCTGCACTGGTGGGAAAAATCATCCAGCATCAGAAACCCCCCACCGTCATAAAGCTTGTGTCTTAGCAAGTGGGAGACAGCTGAGTGGTGCTCCCTCATCTGGTGGACAGTGACTCCTAATTCTTCAGCCTTTCTCTTTGTTTGATACCAAGTTTATTTTTTTAAGTTTTTTATTATTTATTTATTTTCTTTTTTATTTCTGAGGCAGAGTCCTGCTCTGTGGCCCAGACTGGATTTCAGTGGCACAATCTTGGCTCACTGCAGCCTCTGCCTCCCGGACTCAGGCGATTCTCCTGCCTCAGCCTCCAGAGGAGCTGGGATTATAGGCACGCGCTACCACGCCCAGCTAATTTTCATATTTTTAGTAGAGACAGAGTTTCACCATGTTGGCCAGGATGGTCTCGATCTCCTGACCTCGTGATCTGCCCACCTCAGCCTCCCAAAGTGCTGGGATTACAGGAATGAGCCACCGCACCTGGCCCCAGGTTTTTATATTTGGCAAAGGAAAGAACTGCATACCATTTTAGTCATTGTAAAATTATTAAAACTTTCTTTTCTCTTTCTGTCCACTCCTTGCCTACCATATCAAATAGGGTTCCTCTTCCTTCTAATCTACAGATTTTCTTTTGGTTGCCATCATTGTAGACTTCTTAAGTCTCCATTTGATCAAAAGGTAGATATGGCTGGGCACGGTGGCCCATGCCTGTAATCCCAACGCTTCAGGAGGCCAAGGTGGGAAGATTGCTTGAAGCCAGGAATTCCATACCAGCCTGGGCTACAAAGCAAGACCCTGTCTTTATAAAAAATAAGAAAATTTAGCTGAGTGTGGTGACCCACACCTGTAGCTGCAACTACTCAGGAGGCTGGGGCAAAAGGATCCCAGGAGTCTGAGGCTGCAGTGAGCCACGATCACGCCACTGCACTCCAGCTTGGGAGACAGAGTAAGACGCTGTCTCTTAAAAAAAAAAATTTTTTTTTAAGTAGTTTTAACAAACGATAAGTGCTGGGGCTCTCTCTCCCTTTGCTTCTGGCTCTTCTGGTTTGGACTGAATAAAATCAAACGTGTTTTAAAAGAATCCAGAAACGTGAAGAATTTGCCCACTTCCCTCCCTTGGCCTTTCACGTGTAGCAGCTGGACGTGTTGCTGGCCTCTCAGGAAGCTGTGTGCCACGGGCCCCTGCAGTTGTCCTGTTAGTATTTGGGGGACCCATTGCCAGTCTCCCCATGCTCACACACAGGCTCATGGCCGGTGCGGTGCCACCTTTGGGAAAGCCGGCCATGGCTTCTCCCAGCCCCCAGGGTGGGGTTCGGCGCAGGCATCCAGAGCCGCATCCCGGCATCCACAGCCGCGTCCCACCATTCCTGGGAGTAGGGGCTTTGCTGACCACTTGAGCCCTGTGTCCCGGCAGCTATACTGCGTTCAGCCTCCCACCCCCGTGGGGCCCCCGTCCGCCACCCTCCAGCTTTGTGCCTCCCACCCAGCTAACCAGCCCCCGTCAGCCTCCCGTTCCATCTTCCTCAGCCAGTTCCCTCGGGGCCGAGCCTGGGTTTTGCTGACTCTCCTGCCTGATTTAGACCGGAGGGCAGGGGCCATTTACCAACCTCCGTTGCCCTGGTGGCCCAGGCCTGCTCGGACTCAAGGTTCTGCTGCTGAGGTCCTTCTCCCCCAAAAAACATGCACAGAGCTGAAAGTGTCAGATCACTGGTTGCAATATGAAAGCTTCTCAAGTGTGATTTTTTTCCCCGAACTTCCCATCTTTATGCGTTTTCAGATTTGTGGTAATGCAGCTAAGACAGTAGTTCAGACAATTCCTGCTAACTCTTTACCCAGATCTCACAAACGAGCACAAGCATGACTTTCAAAACTGAGGAATCTGTTTTCACTTTTCCAGCATGCATGGAGTGGCAGTACTAACGGCTGGTGTCTCGCACCCTGCCCTGTGAAGGTACGTGAAGCTGAAAGCCTGGAATGGCTGGAAAGGGGTCATCAGGCAGGCGTCCCCTGCTGCTGGGGTTGCTGGTGGCCGTAGCCACTGTCCACCTGGTCACCTGTCCCTACACCAAAGTGGAGGAGAGCTTCAACCTGCAGGCCACACATGACCTGCTGTACCACTGGCGAGACCTGGAACAGGTGAGGGGCCCCTGCTGTCCTTGGGGAAAACCTCATGTTACCAGCTGGCAGGGCCCCGGTGCACTGACCTGCCCTTCTCCTCGCAGTACGACCATCTCGAGTTCCCCGGAGTCGTCCCCAGGACGTTCCTCGGGCCAGTGGTGATCGCGGCATTCTCCAGCCCTGCGGTTTACGTGCTTTCGCTGTTAGAAATGTCCAAGTTTTACTCTCAGCTAATAGGTAAGGGGGTCTTCAACAAAGGAGGAGGGAGTGAGGGATCGTGGTGTCATCGGGTGACCTCAGTGAGGCCACGGTCCCCCCGCCCAGGAACACTGTCTGTTACAGTCTTGCCTGCCCTCGATCACCGTGGCATGGCAGCTCAGAGCAGGCACTCAGGTCAGGCTGGGACATCTGAGCCAGCCCCTCTGTGCCTCCACACTCTTGACTGGGAAATGAGGGATGACGGCACTCACTCCGCAGGGCAGGTACAAGAGAAATGCCGTCTGTCTGTGACGCAGCTCTCGCCACCTGAGCCTGCTGCTCCTGCCTCACCTGGCGAACCCCAATGGGGTCAACAGCCTTTATTCCTGCAGAAACAGCACCATTTGCCTTGGGAAATGTTACAAACAGAAACCTCACATTCCCAGAGGCCGCCACTGCAGGGCCCGTGTGCAAATCCTGGGTCTTTCTCTGTGCCCACATGAGGACTAAAAAAAAAAACAATTTTAGAACATTTTTTACATATTACATATTGTTCTGAAAACCGATTTTTTTTTTTTTTTTTTTTTTTGAGACAGGGCCTTGCTGTGTCACCCAGGCTGGAGTGCAGTGGTGCAATCATAGCTCACTGCAGCTTTGAACTCCTGGGCTCAAATGATCGTCCCACCTCAGCCTCCCACAGTGCTGGGATTACAGGCGTGAGCCACCATGTCCAGTCACACAACCTGAGTTTTTAAAGTCAGCAATCACCACTTTTTCATTTCAGTACATTTTTATTGCTTTTAATACCCAGACATGCTTGCAGTGAGTCTGTCCAGCCTGCATGGAGAGCGTTAAGAAGCAGCCATTCCTGGGGAAGGAGCAGTTCTGCTTCTTGAAGGGCAGATTGGGAATGGAAACCCACCATGACATGGGGACAGCTGGACAAGCCGTGCGTGTCCTGTGGAGGCATCAGGGAGCCCCAGATGGGGAGGAGTTGGGGGGCCGTGAGCCAGGGAAAGGAAGTCCACAGGCAATCCCAGGGCTGAGTCCACATTCCCCTGGAAGCTTCTGCGTATTCCAGGGGTGGCAGCAAGAGGCCGGGAGGTTGGGCAGAGCTGGGCAGACTCCGGCTGGACAGAAACTCGGAGGGCTGCAGCTTCAGCCAGTGAACGGGAGCCCACCCTGGGTCCTTCCTGATCCCACTAAGATGACCTGGAATTGCTAGTGCCCCGCCCCTGCCAGCCCCTGCCACAGGCCAAAATCCTTCCTCTCTGGATGAAGAGCACGTCATCCTGGGACTGAAGGTCATCCTGGGGCCAAGGCTGATCCTGGGGCCGAGGCTGATCCTGGAGCTGAGGCTGCCCTTGTTGGGCACGGCATTGAGATTGCTGGGCATTTGGGAAGATGGAAAACCAAGAGAAGAGACGCAGGGGATGGACCTGATGGGAAAAAGGGGAAGTGGGGCTTTGCCGGGGTCTGTGAATTGTTTAAAAGCCCAGGGGGAATTCCAGCACCAAAAATGCAGCAGCTGGAGCCAGACCCACTCCTGGGTATCAGTGAAAAATGTCCTGTTGAGACATTCAGGCCAGACGAGGTGACTCACGCCTGTAATCCCAGAACTTCGGGAGGCCGAGGCGGGGGGATCACCTGAGGTCAGGAGTTTGAGACCATCCTGGCCAACATGGGGAAACCTTGTCTCTACTAAAAATACAAAAATTAGCTGGGCATGGCAGCGTGTGCCTGTAATCCCAGCTACCCGGGAGGCTGAGGTAGCAGAATTGCTTGAACCCGGAAGGCAGAGGTTGCAGTGAGCCGAGATTGTGCCACTGCACTCCAGCCTGAGCAACAGAGGGAAGTTCTGTCCTTAAAAAGAAAAAAGAAAAAAAAAAAAAAGACATTTGCAGTCCGAATCCAGCGATCAGTGAAAAGAAAATGCCCGGTGTGCTTACGGGGTGTTCTGGGAACAGCAGGTCCAGCACTCAGACGTCTGTGGCCCCCTTGCAATGCCTGCGTATCTCTGCCTGTTGGCCCCCACAGCTGCCTGGACCCAGTTGCCTCTCACATGGGAGCTTCGAAGTCCCTCTGGCCTTCCGGAAAGGTGGCGAGAGATACCCAGAAGTTCATTTTTCTTCCTGTTTTCAGCCTCTCTTGCCAGCGGCTGACAGGCCAGTCCATGGTGAGGATGTGTGGTCGGCTGGGTACTGTCCTGGGCACACCTGCCCCCTCACCGCCTCCTCCTCAGACCGCCAGCCCAGAGGTGGCTCCCGCTGTTGAATGGGGAGAGGGGTCCTGACCCCCTTCCTGCCTGGGAGCCTGTGTTCCCGCCACGTCCCACCTCCTCACGGCTGCTGGTTAGAGCAAGGTCTGAGCCCGGCCCTTGCAAACATTGCCCCTGGAGATGCCACAGCCCAATGGGGTCTCTGGTTTAGTGTGGGGCTCAGCTTGTAGCACCCCCAAGTTCCGTATCCTCCCTCATGCTTCAGAGAGCAGCCCCCGCAAGAGCCCTCGTGGCACCAGGCTTGGGCGTTTCAGTTCCCGACAGGAGCGCAGGGGGCCTGGGGCCAGACGTCTGTCTTAGACATGGAGACAATGCCCTCAAGGCTGCTTTGCCTGACATGGCCATCAGCTGGCGTTGCAGCAACATAGAAAAATCCATATAGGCCGGGCGCGGTGGCTCAAGCCTGTAATCCCAGCACTTTGGGAGGCCGAGACGGGTGGATCACGAGGTCAGGAGATCGAGACCATCCTGGCTAACACGGTGAAACCCCGTCTCTACTAAAAATACAAAAAAAACCAGCCGGGCGAGGTGGCGGGCGCCTGTAGTCCCAGCTACTCGGGAGGCTGAGGCAGGAGAATGGCGTAAACCCGGGAGGCGGAGCTTGCAGTGAGCTGAGATCCGGCCACTGCACTCCAGCCCGGGCTACAGAGCAAAACTCCGTCTAAAAAAAAAAAAAAAAAAAAGAAAAATCCATATAGAAAGATATGTGTAGGAGGACCCACGTAGGAGGACCCACTGGATGCTCCTCCGCGACAGGCTCACGTGCTGTCACTGTCTTTGTTTAGTTAGAGGAGTGCTCGGACTCGGCGTGATTTTTGGACTCTGGACGTTACAAAAGGAAGTGAGACGGCAGTTTGGGGCCATGGTGGCCACCATGTTCTGCTGGGTGACGGCCGTGCAGTTCCACCTGATGTTCTACTGCACGCGGACACTGCCCAACGTGCTGGCCCTGCCCATAGGTACGTAGCTGCCGGCCGTGCCTGCACGCCCACGGTGCTGGGCAGGGGCTCCCCTGAATCAGGGGCTCCCCGGCTGATGACAGCGCCTCCCTTGTGATGGCCACTCCCCGCTGGGCTCCTCAGGATGGTCCGTGACCTGAAACCGGGCTCTTTGTTTTCCCTGCTGGGTTGGGATGCACTTCCTAGCCAACAGCGTGGGTGCGGGGGGCGGCTCTGAGCAGTTTGTTTTCTGGGATATTTGTGTGACTTTTATGATAAGAAAAGGAACAGCTGCTGGTTAGAGCAAGGTCCCTTCGCTTCCCAGGGTGTTTTCTGGGCCAGGTGGGCCCTGTGTCTGATGGGCACCCTCCCGCGCTGTCTTGCAGTCCTGCTGGCCCTGGCAGCCTGGCTGCGGCACGAGTGGGCCCGCTTCATCTGGCTGTCAGCCTTCACCATCATCGTGTTCAGGGCGGAGCTGTGCCTGTTCCTGGGCCTCCTGCTGCTGCTGGCCTTGGGCAACCGAAAGATTTCTGTAGTCAGAGCCCTTCGCCACGCCATCCCGGCGGGGATCCTCTGTTTAGGTAAGTTAGTCGCTGCGGCATGCTTCTAACTGGATTTTGTTTTGCCTTGTTTTACAAAGGTCAAGAGAAATTTGGGACGTTTTCATCCCCATGAAATAAAATGACTCTAACTTTAGCAGTGTTAAAACATTTCAGTCCTAAGCCTCCTGCCCGGGGTCTCCAGGGGGCCCCACTCTGCACCTTGGGAGCCCCTGTGCACTGGTCTGTGCCTTGTCCTTGGGCTGGGGGAGCCCACAAGAGCAGAGGGTGGCTTGTCCCTGCGCCAGGCGGCGGTTCTGGGCAGTGGTGTCCTCAACACAGCTGGCGTCTTTTTTCTTTTTTTTGTTTTAGAGATAGCTTGCTCTGTCACCCAGGATGGAGTGCAGTGGCGTGATCGTGGTCCATTGCAACCTCCAACTCCTAGGCTCCAGCAATCTTCCCACCCAGCCCAACCTCTTTGCTTTGAAAGCAGCTTGTAGTTTCTGTAGTGATGGGGGCTGCACTGTGGCGGGATGTTTACTGATGGCTGTGTTTGCAAGTAAGAAACTATTTTATTTTATCAGGACTGACGGTTGCCGTGGACTCTTATTTTTGGCGGCAGCTCACGTGGCCAGAAGGAAAGGTGTTTTGGTACAACACTGTCCTGAACAAAAGCGCCAACTGGGGGGTATCCTTCAGTGTCCGTGCAGGAGGGCGATGGGTGGGACCCCCAGCCACACCTCCTGGGCCTCCTTGGGTGGTGGAAGCAGCTGCTTCTCCCTTCTGTGCAGCCTGGCCGCAGGGTCAGGATGGAGCCCCTCCCTCCCACTTGCTCCTGGGAAATGCTGACCATGGGCGGTGAGGTCCTGGCTGCCCTCTCTCAGTCCTGTGGAAACAGCCCCGCCCCAGATTAACCCAGCCTCTCTTCTGCTCCTTGGACAATCTGCCTTTTTTTTTGTTTTTTTTCTTTTTTTTGAGACCGAGTCTGGCTCTGTCGCCCAGGCTGGAATACAGTGGTGTGATCTCAGCTCACTGCAGCCTCTGCCTCCCTGGTTCAAGCAATTCTCTTGCCTCAGCCTCACGAGTAGCTGGGACTATAGGCGCGCGCCAGCAAGCCTGGCTAATTTTTGTATTTTTAGTAGAGATGGGGTTTTACCATGTTGGTCAGGCTGCTCTTGAACTTCTGACCTCAAGTGATCTGCCCACCTCGGCCTCCCAAAGTGCTGGGATTACAGGTGTGAGCCACCACACCTGGCCTGGACAATCTGCATTTAAAAAGCACTTTCTTAGGAAGTATGTCAAATGTACACGCGTAGATGGAATAGCATAACAAATCCCCAACACGTGTGTCACCCGTGACCATCTGTTTTTGTTTGTTTGTTTGTTTGTTTGTTTTTTGAGACAGAGTCTCACCCTGTTGCCAGGTTGGAGTGCAATGGCATGATCTCGGCTCACTGCAACCTCCAACTCTCTGGTTCAAGTGATTCTCCTGCCTCAGCCTCCTGAGTAGCTGGGATTACAGGCACTTGCCACCACGCCTAGCTAATTTTTGTATTTGTATCGGAGATGGGGTTTAACCACGTTGGCCAGGATGGTCTCGATCTCTTGACCTCGTGGTTCGCCCACCTTGGCCTCCCAAAGTGCTGGGATTACAGACGTGAGCCACTGCGCCTGGCTGACCATCTGTTTTTAACAGTGAAGGAAAGGGTGCAGAGACCGAACATCCTGCGGCCCTTTCTGCCTTGGTCCTGCCTGGAGGGGGCCCGAAGCCCAAGTGGTATGTGTGCACCCGCGCCATGGCCTGGGTGTATCTTTCAGGAGGGGGCCTGGGGCCTGAGTGGTGTCTGTGCACGCGAGCCATGGCCCAGGCTGCATCTCTCAGCACAACTGTCTTCAGGCATCTTCTCTGCCTTGACCCCGCCACCCAGCCCATGGGCTCATGTGTGGACAGGTGCATGGCCTCCTTAACCCAGCCCGCAGACCTCCCCACTGCTGTGGTACTTCTACTCAGCCCTGCCCCGCGGCCTGGGCTGCAGCCTGCTCTTCGTCCCCCTGGGCTTGGTGGACAGAAGGACGCACGCACTGACGGTGCTGGCACTGGGCTTCGTGGCGCTCTACTCCCTCCTGCCGCACAAGGAGCTACGCTTCATCATCTATGCCTTCCCTGCTCTCAACATCACAGCTGCCAGAGGCTGCTCCTACCTGTGAGCACTCTTTTTGTGACATGCATTTTTAGTTTCATTGGAGACAGGTTCACTGATTTACTATGTGGGGGGTGTATGTGTGTGTTTAAGTTTTGAAACAGGGTCTTGCTCTGTCACCCAGGCTGGAGTGCAGCAGAGCGATCATGGCTCACTGCACCCCTCAACTCCTAGGGAGTCAAGCCATCCTCCTGCCTCCTCTCAAAGTGCTGGGATTACAGGTGTGAGCCACCGGGGGGGTTTTTTTTTTTTTTTTTTTTTTTTTTGAGACGGAGTCTTGCTCTGTCGCCCAGGCTGGAGTGCAGTGGCCGGATCTCAGCTCACTGCAAGCTCCGCCTCCCGGGTTCACACCATTCTGCCTCAGCCTCCGGAGTAGCTGGGACTACAGATGCCCGCCACCTTGCCCGCTAGTTTTTTATATTTTTTAGTAGAGACGGGGTTTCACTGTGTTAGCCAGTGTTAGCCTTTTTTTTTTTGATCTCCTGACCTCGTGATCCGCCCGTCTCGGCCTCCCAAAGTGCTGGGATCACAGGCTTGAGCCACCGCGCCCGGCCAACTATATTTTAAGATATTTTTTTTTTTTGTTGAATTAGGCGCTTATGTCAAAAGAGGGTGGCCCCAGTCTTTTTTTTTTTCTGAGGTCTGCATGGGATGGGCCGGCCTGGCGACCTGCTGCCTTTTTTTTTTTCTCAGGTGGTCTCTGTCTTGGGTTAATTTGGTGACTGGTCTATTTTTTTTTTTGCACCAGCGGTCCCCATCTCTGCCACAGGGGAGGGACACTCATTTTTTTTTTTACGGCAGAGGGCAGGGGCAGCCAGGCCTGGGAGGCTCTGAGGTTTTTTTTTTTGGTGGAGGAAGGACGTTCATGGCCATCCTGACAGGGCCTCAGTTTTTTTTTTTTTTGTCAAGGCAGGTCATCTGGCTGGAAGAGGGGGATGGTCATTTTTTTTTTTGTGGCTGGGTGCAGAGGGCCCAGCGTGGCCCAGGCTCAGGGTTTTTTTTTTTTTGGGCAGGCTTCCTGGGGGGAGGGACTGAAGGTAGCAGGTGATTTTTTTTTTTCTGGGAGCCTGCCAGGGCCTGGGGAGGGCACTGCCTGGGCTGAGGGTGGGGTGGTCTGAGTGCAGCTGCCACTCAGTGTCGCAAGCCTCAGGTAGTTTTTTTTTTTCATCACTCCTGGGCCCTATGGGTGCTGGGGAAGGATCCAGGGTTTTTTTTTTTGGAGAGTCCATCACTCCTGGGCCCTATGGGTGCTGGGGAAGGTTTTTTTTTTTAGGCCCCAGGAGAGTCCATCACTGCTGGGCCCTATGGGTGCTTTTTTTTTTTTTGGGGCTCAGGTCCAGGAGAGTCTATCACTGCTGGCCCTGTGGGTGCTGGGGAAGGACCCGGGGCTGAGGCTGGCCAGCTCTGTGCCCATTCAGATTTTTTTTTTTTGATGGGAACAGAAGGCCAACTCAGGCCACACTGGACATTGATTTTTTTTTTTGCTGCGGGCCAGGAGGGCTGGGGCCTGAGGTGCTGAGAGGTGTTTTTTTTTTTTGGAGAGGACGTCCCACAGCACGGTCCCTGATCCCAGGCAGCGGTCAGGTGCTTTCCGGTGACACCTGTTACAGGGGACGGGGTGGTGCCCCTCATTTTTTTTTTTTCTGCACTGCCCTTGGGCCTGGGAGCTCCTCTGGCTGCTGTGTTTTTTTTTTTCTAGGGGTTCCTCCAGCTGCCGTGGCCGTGCCTCCGTGGAGCTTTTTTTTTTTCCTCCAGCTGCCATGGCTGTTCCTCACTGGGGGTTCCTCTGGTTTTTTTTTTTTGCCCAGGCTGGGGGGCTCCTCCAGCTGCCGTGGCCATGCCTTTTTTTTTTTTCTGGGGGCTCCTCTGGCTGCCGTGGCCGTGCTGGTTTGGGGGTTTTTTTTTTTGCCATGGCCATGCCTGGGTTGGGGGCTTCTCCAGCTGCTGTATTTTTTTTTTTGTGGGGGCTCCTGGGAGCTCTGCCTCTGCTTTTCTGTGCCTTTTTTTTTTTTTCGTCCAAGGGGTCGGCTCAGGGCTAAAGGGGGAGCAGACCCCTTTTTTTTTTTTGGAAAAGAGGGTGGGAAGGACGGGGAGAGTGGCGCAGATGGTTTTTTTTTTTTGACAGACTTTTCTAGCAGGGAAGAAGATCCAGTGTGAACTGTTTTTTTTTTTGCTGAAACCAAAGGCAGGAGTGTCTGAGGCCTGGTGTGCTGGTTTTTTTTTTTGCTCCATGCAAGGGCCCCCGCTGTGCCAGTTGGCCTTATCCGGAGGAGGACAAACTTGGGGCGTCTAAATGAGGGGGTGCAGGGTAGAGCAAGGCTTTTTTTTTTTTCAGGTCCTCAGCCCGGTCACCCTGGGAGCAAGAGCAGGCCATCCCCCTCGGCGTCAGGGCCCAGGGCCTTGCCACAGTCCTGGGGGTGTGAGCTTTTTTTTTTTTCTGCCCGCTCCAGCTCTGGGCGGGAACAAAGGGCGAACGCCCTTTTTTTTTTTAGCTCTTTGGGGCAGGCACTTAGGAGGCTGGGGTCATCCTAGGAGCGGCCTCGAGCTCAGGAACGGCCCCAGAGTTTGTTCACGGCTGCACTAGTTTTTTTTTTTTCTGCTGTCAAGAAACATCGGAGACCGGTAATTTATAAAGAGGTTTTTTTTTTTGCTCGCGGTGCCGCAGGCCGTACAGGATTGGCTGGCGGTTCCTTTTTTTTTTTAGGATTGGCTCGCGGTGCCGCAGGCCACACAGGATTGGCTGGTTTTTTTTTTTGCCGCACAGGATTGGCTGGCGGTTCCGCAGGCCACACAGGATTTTTTTTTTTTTCTGTGGGCCGTACAGGAAGTGTGATACTGGTGTCTGCTCAGTTTTTTTTTTTGCCTGGGGAAACTTTCCGTCATGGAGGAAGGCCAAAGGGAAGCAGGCACGTTTTGTGTGGCCAGAGCAGGAGGAAGAGGGACAGGGGAGGCGTCATTTTTTTTTTTACAAGCAGACATCTCGAGAACTCACTCAGTATAAGGAGAACATTTTTTTTTTTATGGCACTAATCCATTCCTGAAGGCTCTGCCTCCATGGCCCAGTCACCTCCCACCAGGCCCCACCTCCAGCATTGGGGATCACAGCTGGACATGAGATTTGGTGGGGACGCAGATCCAAACCATAGCAAAGGGCAGGGCGTGCGGAGAAGAGGGCTCCGAGGAGCCTGGTGGGTTTGGAAGAGAGCGAGTCTTGATCAGGGTTTTTTTTTTTTTAGACCAGGGTTGGCAAGCTTTTCCGTTAAGGACCAGCTAATAAGGAGCCCCATCTTCGTGGGCCACGCGGTCTCTGGCAGCTGCTAACTCTGCTTTTTTTTTTTGAGATTGGCACAGTCGATTGTGAGAACTAGCGGTGCCCTGTGTTTTTTTTTTTACTCACCTGCTGGAAGTGGGCTTGGCCACGCGGGTGACACTCTTTTTTTTTTTGTCACTTGGGATTGTTTGAAAATATATTTTTAGGCTGGGCGTTTTTTTTTTTTCCTGTCATCCTAGCACTTTGGAAGGCTGAGGCAGGCAGATCACGAGGTCAGGAGTTCAAGACTAGCCTGGCCAACATAGTGAAAGCCTATCTCTACTAAACATACAAAAATTAGCTGGGCATGGTGGCGGGCGGCTGAGGCAGGAGAATCACTTGAACCTGGCAGGCGGAGGTTGCAGTGAGCTGAGATCATGCCACTGCATTTTTTTTTTTGTGACACAGTGAGACTGTCTCAAAAAAAAAGAAAATATATTTTTTTTTTTTTTATCTAGGCCGGGTGCGGTGGCTCACGCTTGTAATCTCAACACTTTTTTTTTTTAAGAAGGGCAGATCACGAGGTCAGGAGATCGAGACCATCCTGTTTTTTTTTTTGAAACCCCATCTCTATTAAAAATACAAAAAATTAGCCGGGCGTTTTTTTTTTTGCCTGTAATCCCAGCTACTCGGGAGACTGAGGCAGGAGAATGGCGTGAAACTTGGAGGCGGAGCTTGCAGTGAGCCGAGATTATGCCGATGCACATTTTTTTTTTTGACAAAGTGAAAAAAAAAAATCTAATCTAAAGTTTAATTTGGTTTTTTTTTTTGAATTTCACAGACAATTCTTGAGGCAGTATCTTAACTACTTTTTTTTTTTTTTCTGTTTATTTGGTGGTGAACTCTTTGTTATGACTTGGAGAAGTTTTTTTTTTTGTTATGCTCCTACTGTGTTTTGTAGATAGATTAACTTTATTGTTTTTTTTTTTTGCCTATGATGTGTAACCATTCTTTTCTCAGGCTGAATAACTTTTTTTTTTTTTGGTTGTACAAAGTGGGGTCTCTGCTTGTGATCGGACACCTCTTTTTTTTTTTCGCCTACTCAGCCACGGCCCTGTACGTGTCGCATTTCAACTACCCGGGTGGCGTCGCGATGCAGAGGCTGCACCAGCTGGTGCCCCCCCAGACAGGTGGGTACTGGAGGCGCTGCCTGGGGACCGTGTGGCTCCGACCGCAGGGCTGGTTTTTTTTTTTAGGCCTGGTTTTCCTAGACGTCCTTCTGCACATTGACGTGGCAGCCGCCCAGACAGGCGTGTCTCGGTTTCTCGAAGTCAACAGTGCCTGGAGGTTTTTTTTTTTTACAGCACGACCCTCCTGGAAGCCATGTGAGGGCCCCTTGGCACCCAGGGTGGGGGATGGGGCAATTTGGGGCCCTGGGCAGGACCACCGGCTCTCATCCCACAGGTATGACAAGAGGGAGGACGTGCAGCCGGGGGCGGGCATGCTGGTTTTTTTTTTTATCCTCATGGAGGCGGCCCCTGGGCTCCTGGCCCTCTACAGGGACACACACTGGGTCCTGGCCAGCATCGTGGGCACCACAGGTGTGAGTCTGAATTTTTTTTTTTTGCCCCCCTTCAACGTCCACCTGCAGACAAAACTGGTGCTTCTTTTTTTTTTTCCCCGGCCGTCCTGAGGGGGGACCAAGCAGCCCCCAGCAGCCTTTTTTTTTTTAGGAGCTGAGTGTTCTGGCACAATTCCAGCACAATTATGACATTTTTTTTTTTCAAGTCAAAGGACTGTGCACCTGCCTCTCACAGACACCAGAGCAGGGCCAGGGCCTCCTCCACAGCCTCACCTGGGGCTCGCAGCACCAGAGAACTTTTTTTTTTTGTCTTGTTGGCACCCCGGGAACCACTGCCCAGGGTGATGGTGTTTTTTTTTTTGCTGGTGGGCGACAGTCATCTGTCATCCAGACCGGGTGCCAGTCATGACTAATGAGGAGCAGCAGGCTCACCTGGGCACCTGTCTGCCGGGAGGCCACGTGTGTCGTGGCGTGCCCACCCGGGGGGAGCAGTAGTTTGGCAGCACCCCTTTTTTTTTTTCAGAGGGCCTCTTGGGGCGCCTAAGACAGCACCCCCTCTCAGTTTTTTTTTTTGTGGCCCCTGCCGCCCCCCTGACCTGCTGCCACCACTGCAACTTTTTTTTTTTCAGGCATCCCATCTCCATCACAGATAAAATTTTAGGAGATAATTTTTTTTTTTAAGGAATGAGAGAAAAAGAATAAGACAATAAATGTTGATTGGTTTTTTTTTTTATTACAGAAAATAATGAGAATGAAATTTTAAAAATGTTTCCTTTTTTTTTTTTTATCACAGGTGACTATTCCAGGTGTTATGGTAAAGGGACAGCTTTTTTTTTTTAGCTTCACTGACCATGCGTTTATAAAGCTCCAAAGTACATGTGATGCTGCTGGGCACTGGAGACAGGGGACTAGGTGCTGCTGCACACATATGCATTTTTTTTTTTTACACATGCACACACACAATGCACATGTGCACACACCATGCATTTTTTTTTTTCACTCATGCACACAACATGCATACACACTACACACATGCACATTTTTTTTTTTCACACTACACATATACACACACAATGCACATGCGCACACACCTTTTTTTTTTTCTACACACACATGCACACACACTGCACACGTGCACACCATGCTTTTTTTTTTTACATGCACACTGCACATGTGTACACACCATGCATACACACTATTTTTTTTTTTACATACAATGCACACGTGCACACACACCATGCGTACACACAATTTTTTTTTTTACAGTGCACATGTGCACACACCATGCATACTATACATGCATGTTTTTTTTTTTTGTGTGCACACAGTACACAGGTTCACACACCATGCGTACACATTTTTTTTTTTCACACAATGCACATGTGCACACACCATGCGTACACACTACACTTTTTTTTTTTTACAGTGCAGAGGTGCACACTATGCGTACACACTACACATGCTTTTTTTTTTTGCACATGCACACACCATGCGTACACACTACACACACATGCACTTTTTTTTTTTGTTCACACACCATGCATACACACACATGCACACACAATGCACATGGGCACACACCATGCACACACACCACACACACATGCACACAAATGCACACGTTTTTTTTTTTCATACATACCACACACATATCCATGCACACAATGCACATGTGTTTTTTTTTTTCATACACACCACACACGTGTACACCCGCATACATACACACCATTTTTTTTTTTACACACCACACGTGTGTACACACACGTGCATAAAGACATTTCTTTTTTTTTTTTTTTTT